TGCAAATTGTGTCGTCATAAACAACACTTCACCTCCTCTCACCACCTAATAGCACAGAATTCTCGTACGACTGTCGAACAACAATAGAAAAAAAGATACGGACGATCGGTACGATACACGAAATGAGAAAAATGATTCTATCGCTATACTATCTTTATTCTTCGGAACGAAAATCTTTATCGGTCAGCTAGTAATGGAAGCGAAAAACCACTATTGAGGATTCGACCAGGAATCGATAAAGATACAACGGATAGTTTTGTGTTACTAGGGCCAGTTCAGTTGGCAATGCCACTCTTTCCATTCAGCAGTGTTTGTGTAAAAAGGGGGGGGGGGTCTCTTCTCTCCATCCAACTGCCTCCCGCAGCAGCTAGAACGAGTACCAAGCAGTTAAAATGTACCACAGACCACCACCATCACACCTCTCTGCTGGTGTCCACACACACTCACACACACGCACACACTCACAGTCGGTCGTTTTTGTCAGGCTATCAGTTGGAGACGCTAGACGCACGCACACACACACCTCTTACCTCGTTCACATATGCGGGCGACACTCGAGTGCGACAACACTGCTGCGCGCCCAGTCAGTCGTGTCGCGCGCGTCGCGCGGTTTTGTTTTCACTTTTTAAAACAAACTCTCTCGCATCTCGTTCAAACACTCTTCGAGAGGATCGATGGAATAATCGACATTCGGCCCGCGAGGCGCCAACAGCGGGTAATCGTTTTGGCAAACGAGTAACGTCCGGATCCGCATCGGCGTAGCTTTCACCACCACCACTACCACCATCTCCCTCCTTTTCCCTCGCCGTCCTCCTCTTCCTCCCTCCCCCTCCCCTTTCGACCACCGAGCTGTATAAAATGGCAGAGTAGCCATATTACACGCCCTAGGGGCCGCGCTTCGCCACAAGGCCTTTGCATGGTATATGGAAAATATATACACCGCCTCCCACATCCAACCTATTTTTAAAGACTCCGCCAGCAGGTGACTAAGAAACAGTAATTATTCAAGAGAAGATATAGGCAACTCTGTTTCAAATATGTGCATTCGCATAGGAGGTGGGGAAGGGGGTTGTGAAAAGAGGAGAGGAGAAAGGTTTCAGAAGTAGTGAGACAGAGCAGAGGAAAACGATAAAGAAGTGGGGTCAAACGCCTGTGGCCCCAACGCCCAGCTACTGCGCGCTGCACACACGTACAGCACACACACACACACACACACACACAGCTCTATGCACCACGCCGCGCCCCGCCACACGAGCAAAGCGTGCCCGGAGAAGCAAAGCAGCAGAGAGCCCAGCGTCCGCAGAAGCAGCTCTGTTAAAAAGAAAAATGTTGAGAAATAATGAGATTGGTTTCGACTACACTGGTAAAACAAAGGTGCGAATTAACACCTTTCCAGGGGCGTTAAAGTCAAAAGGCGTTAACGTTTTAGTTCTTCCCGAATATTTTCTGATGGAGCAAACCAAGGTTTGTAGAACTAACATTTTCGTATTCAGCTCAAAATTCCGCTTCGATCGATCCTACATGTGACAGGGATCAAATCCCAAATGAAAGAGAATTTAGTAGATTCCTGAGGGTCAGTTACTTCTTTCACCGTCCTTTAGACACATATCACATGTAGGCTCGTTCAAAGCGGAATTTTGAGCTGAATGCGAAAATATTAGTCCTACAAACACTGGTTTGCTTCAGCAGAAAATATTTCGAAAAAACTAAAACGTTAACGTCTTTAGAACTTTAATGCCTTTAAAAGGTGTGATTTCACACCTTTGTTTTACAAGTGTATTTTAAAATGAAAAAAAGCATACAGAAAAGACACATTGCTGGTAAAGCGGGGGTTACAGTCCTGGCCTTGGCCCCCAAGCGTTAGGCAACCCACACGCGTTCATGCATGCCGAACAGTATACCAGGGCTGATTCACGCTGCGCACTTCTGTAGGTAAACTGTACCGCACGCACGAGTGCGGTTGGGTTGCCTACTCGCTCGGCTCGTAAGGCGCCGTGGACAAGGGCGATAGGCAAGTCCGCCCGCACTCGTGCGTGCGGTACAGTGTACCTACAAAAGTGCGCGGCGTGAATCAGCCACCTGGTACAACTACGAAAGTGCAAGGAAGTTGTCCGCCCCCTGGTGCGTATACATGTATAAGTACCGGGACCGCAGTCGAGTCATGTGGTATTGACCCGCTGCGAGGCGGTCACACGACGTCTTTGGCGTGGCGTGGCGTGGCGGGGCGTGGCGGGGCGTGGCGGGGCGCGGCGGGGCACAGCGCGGGGTGCGGCGTGCGTCGTCGCCCCCCGGCGGCGGTGCCATCCCGTGTACCACCTTCTGTGTCTCCAGCGACGCATAATATGGCGCGGAATGGCACTTGGCGTGCAGTCCACGTCCCGTGTCCAGCTGCCCGCCCGGTCACGCCCCGCCCCGCCCCGCCCCGCAGCGCCACGCCCTGCATGGTCAGGCGCGGCTGCCGGGCCGGCCGAAGAGGGCGCACACAGCCCTAACAGAGATATGGCAAAAAAATGTACATTACAGTACTACAAAAATAAACATGGAAATTGAGAAAAATCACCGTTTACTCTGCAAACTCAACAGTGAGCATTGTACACGGATTAATCAGTGTACATGCATGCACACTGATAAATCCGTGTGCATAGCATGTACACTGATTTATCAGTGTGCATTGCATGCTCACGTTTTCGTATTTTGCTTCTCATTTCTCCCAGACACAAAATTTATCAAATTAGGATGTATTTTCAAATTCCTTATCAAAAGAGCTTTCAAAGGAGCTACTATGTGATATGGTTCATTTTTCAGCAGACCGGTATAGAAGGTCTCGAGGAATGTTCACGTGTACATGTGAATGCACACGCGAACATGTGCCCACGTTTTGTTTAAAACCGAAGTGCTCAGAAACCCTTTGCAATGAACCCAATCGCATAGTAGCTCATTTGAAAGCTCTTTTGATGAGGAATTTGAAAATGCATCTTAATTAGTTAAATTTTGCGTCTGGGAGTAATGAGAAGCAAAATACGAAATCGTGAGCATGCAATGCACACTGATAAATCAGTGTACATGCTATGTACACGGATTTATCAGTGTGCATGCATGTACACTGATTAATCCGTGTACAATGCTCACTGTTGAGTTTGCAGAGTACAGTAGACCTTCACCCCTCTTTCTCCTCCAATAAAAATATATGGAATTTTACGTCGCGAGTCGTCGTCAAACCCGGCACTGCTATGTCGCCGACACAACATGTTGTCACTGTAACAAACATGTGTCTTGGCCTCTCGGGGCGGAGCGGCTGCGGCGAGTGAAGGCGCAGGGCGTGGCGGGGCGTGGCGGGGCGTGGCGGGGCGGATCGCGTCACCTGATGAAAGGAAGTCGTTACGAATGAATCAGGTGCAGTGCGGGGTGGGCCGCCTGTCGTGTACAGCAGGCCTGCTGCTGCACCGCGTGCCCAGCTGCCGGCGGCAGGACCAGCAGGACCAGCAGCCCCGCGCCGCACAACCAGTTATTGTTACACTCAGGTGAGGAATGAGAGCCCATTCATTCGGGAGGACGCCTTTCCTTCACTCACCAGCCTTAAACGAGCTCGAGTAATCGGTACGGAGCTCCAAAACGGTGTTGGAAAACGCTCTGAACAACATTCTACCGGCACTCTACTTTCTGTTTAAATTTACCATCATCGGCCCCTTTTTCAGCTTCTTTTAGTATTTTGTTGGCCTTTACCTCTGCACAGCCAGGATGAAGGTTGCCGTGATATGACGCCAGCGTCCGAAGGAGGATCCTGGTGCAGACAGGTGTGGACAGCCGGGCCAGAAATGCGAGGCACGCATCTTCTCCTTTTCGTCACGATATATTTTTTTTTCTCCTGGCAGTATTTTTCGGACTGCATCGTTGCAAAGCTTCGCGGATGACGCGGCGCGCCTCCTTAGCGAACGGTATGAGGGATGCAGCGCACTCTATTCAGCAGCTGCCACTCGCCAAGCGAAATGTTAATTGAAATTGAAGTGTTGTTTGAGATAGTGGCTCTCGCACGGTATGATTGAGCCGAACGGTCAACGTCTGTGACGTCACGTCTTCCAATGAAGGTGAAGAAGAGAGGAGACATGTTCCTACAGTAATTGGCAAAAATTGTCATTCAGATAACTACAGTGAAAAAATGAGAAAAGTGTACGTGATGGACACCTTAATAAAAGGTCACCGGCGTGTGCGATTACCATTTTACAAAAGAGCATCATACACACACGTCTGGCTGTCCGCCTACTCGTCTCGTTTTTTTGTTTTAAATGTAATTTCGCAAAAGGGCAGCAACAGGAAAAGCAGCGCAAAGAGATGAGGAGCGAGCAAGAAAGAAACAAGCGGAGAGGAAAAGAGAGGGCAAAAGGAAGAAATTATTAAGCGGTCTTCGAGACATCCGGCCTCCGAAATTCTTCCCCAATTATCGGAGAGCGGTAGCGAGCTTCGTTGCAGCCAGGGGGAGCGGTCAGACCCCCGTATGTCGGCCGCTCGGCGGTGCGAGTTATGCAGCGCCAACCTCGCGCGTCGTCTGCTACACCGCCGGGCTCCTTATCCGAATATACGATCTGACCGCAAAACCTGTCATACTTTTTCACTTAAAACCGTTCATTACTATTCAAGGACCATCCATCGCATCCACCCGCCGTAACGTCATCCGGACACCGCACCGAACGGGCATAGGGATAGCGCCAATGTCTGCACACTGGCCGCAGTTCCTCTGAACAATTTCGCAAGGAAACCAACAAAGAAAAGAGTTTTGATGCATGCGGCGCACGCAATGTTCGCAAATACTTGAAGTTGATCTGGTACGGCTTTACACTGCTTTAAAAAATGTGCGATGAAAGAAAAGGGCAGTCTTTCTGCACGCACCCTTCAGAGAAGCGCGTGCCAACGCCGGACCGGTTATCGAAAGCGAGAGAGAGAGAGAGAGAGAGAGAGAGAGAGAGAGAGAGAGAGAGAGAGAGGGAGAGAGAGAGAGAGAGAGAGAGGGGGGGAGTGAGGGGGGAGAGGGACGTGGACCAGCCAAGTGGTATCCAGTTACCATATAGGACCATTGTCTGCCGCGCTCGCCGGCCAATCGGCTGACTCATGTCGCAGTGAGGGGCGCAAGGCGGCGCAAGGGGTCCCCCGTTGGGGGCTCCCCACCAAAGTCTTCTGTTTGAATTAAACGCTTCTTTTCTTTGTAGACAAAACATTTATTGCAAATATATTTCAAACGAATGCAAAGTTTGATTCTGTACACTGTAAAAACAGTCGGTAGGTTTACGCGAAATTTTTTAACGATGAGTGGCGTAAAATTACAAATTGAAATTGCAAATTTACAACTACAACCACTTCGCATTTGGTTGACAAACGTAAATGGGCTGTTTACAAGTTTACAATATATTGTGTAAATGAAAATTACAATAAATGTCGTAAATTGACAATTATGTTCTTAACACAGTGAACGGGCGCAGCTTCTGAAAGAGCAGAGCCGTCTGAAACTATCGACCTGAGAGATCGCATCTGCGAAAAATTCTGAAATTACCGGAGGTTAAGTTTGACTCGACAGAACGAACAAGGAACAAGGCCACCCGCCACCCATGGAGGTCACCAGACCTGCCTTATTACCTGACCTAGGGGCAGCCTGCTATCGACAGCAAGAAAAAATAAGGCTGTATCGCTTTATGGACTTCAGTCTACCGGAGAAAGTAGTGTCGTTTGCAATCGACAGAATAGGGAGGTGAGGGGAGGGGATCGGACTGTATTATCCACTTTCGATACAGATCGACAGAAAGATGACGCCTGGCGGCGGGAGAAAGAAAACCGATGCGAGAGAAAAAAAGGGCCGCTTGACACAGCAGCCGTCAGAAGCACGCTGCCGCTCTGACTGTAACAAATGATAGAAGTCTCTCTTTTTTCCCCGTCAGGCGACTGGCACAAGGCACAGAAGCACACGCATCGTTAAAAAGAACATTTTTGGGAAAAAAAGAATAATAACAATTATAGATAATAATAACTTTGAGAGAGGGTAGAGGGTACCGCCTCACTTTGTCACCTGCTGCTGGAGCGGTAGTAAATACAGACGTTTAGTTTTCAATTTCAAATTAAGAGCAGCGCCAGGTGAGATGGAAGCCGTTTAGACGAGTAATTATGCCGCCGGATCGTGTCCTTCGATGGGCTTCGAATAAAGGGACTCCGGCCGCCGCCGGGCGAGGTGACTTCGGGAGGCGATGTGGGCGGCCCCGCCCCGTCTCTCTCGCTCGGCCTATCTGTATCTCTCTCTATCCCTGCGCGATGTCGGTGCGGTGTTTGATCAGCCCTTTGTCGGCGAAAGAAGTCCAGGGTAGGTGATCGTGAATTATGGAAAACAAAGATATAAGATTGTAGTAAAGAACGCAGGAAAAGACGCACAGGGGTACGGAGGAGTGGGGGTCGGGAGGGGCGGTATATATATGTCCCGTATGTATCCCGTTGGTGCAATGCAGGAAATAGAAAAACAGAGAAAGGTGTCGGAGAAATCGAAAAAAATGGAGATGCTCCTTTCTCCAGAAGGACAAACACGCACAGACACCTCCGGGACGCTGCGACACATCTGCATAATTGGGCGCATACACAAGGCGTAATTAACAGCTAATAAAGGCACCGAGTCGACGCTCTGGGCTGCGGAGCGACAGAGACAGAGGCGTCGGGAGCGGCGCGACAGTGAGAGAGAGGGTGGCGGAGGAAGAGAGAGCGGGAGAGAGAGAGGAGGGGTGGGGGGGCTGGGAGGTGAGGCGTTGAATGTTCATGAGGACAGACGCAGGAGAGACGTCCGGGCTCACGCGTTTATATGTCATTTGTCCCGTACTGTGAGCGCTGGGCGCTGGGCCCAAATGGAGAGAGAGGGAGAGATGCGGACAGAGAGAGAGGGGAAGGAAGTGAAATGCAGCATAGAGACGACCTGCATGACCCCCGAGAAGGAGGACCGAGAACAAACACACGGCCCTACATTATTCAACTTGCCCCCCCTTCAATGAGAGGCAATGATTCAGCATCGGACGACACGGGACAAATTCTTCGTGATCCAACCCGACGCGCGCACTTACATCACTACTACTTCACGAACCCAATGAACGTCATTCGGACACGTCGGCCAAAGTCCGATGCTGATCCAAATACGTAAGAGAGGGAGACGGCAGCAAGTCACCCCGCGCCCCGCCGCGCCGCCGGTCAGCAGAGTGAGTCCGGCAGGCCGCAGCAGTCTTATCACCTCCGAGCCTCCCCGTGTCCTGTTTCCAATGGGAGCGAACCAGAGCGAGCAGCCAGCCCAGACGTCACAAGAGGATCACGGCAGGAAAATATTCCACGACAACTGCGGCGGCGGTCGTGGGCGTAAGGAGTTGGGGAGCAGAACTGAACGCCGCAATATTTCACACAACTACCTCCATTCATAAGTCTCCAACAATGAACAATGAATGTAAAATCATGGTACCGTAAAAATGATATAAATTTGCTATGTCGACCAAATTTTTTAAAGTAGAAATTTCGAAACAAATCCATATACGTATTTATGAGGAGGGCCAATTGATGTTAAAAAATTTCGACTCTAACACTTGCACATACCCAGTTCAGTAGTTAAATAATTCATTCTTGTAAAAAAAAGGAAGAAAAAAACAGTGTTCAAAGAGAAAGACTTTCACACTTGACGACAAATTTATCGTGCTCAACGTTGCTAAATATATATATTTGGCTGAGTGTGGTGCGCCGTGCGTCATCCGCCGCTCTCGAAGGTGTAATCCTTCCCTGCCGTTCCTCCCGCTGTCGCCAATATTCGATTGGGCCACTCTACACCACCCACGCTCTATCTTCGGCCGCCTATGCGCGTCAGTGTCCAACAGCGCCGTTCTAAATGTGGAAATCCAATAATAACCTGGTGATTGACGCACGGCAGCTGAGAGTTGACCCTGTTCCCAATACGGTATTACAAAAATTACAAACGGCTCAATACACAAAAACAACACTGGAAAAACAAAGGTAGTACTTACGGTGCTTTACTGCCATTACAAAGGCATAAATAACTAGCACCTCTACAGAGGCATTAGAACTGCCCGAAGGGGCTAAATTTTAAAGCCTTGGACATGCGTGGGAGAATCAAACAAGAAAATCATAATGGGAGCAACACCGTTCGACTTATACAGCCAGCAAACAAATCTGGTAACGAGTTGGTCTTATATTGTATCGCCTAAACCACAGGGCATCGCACCGACGGCGCACCCGGCCGCCTGCAACGCGACGCAATTCGCCATCCGGCTGGTGGAGGAAGGGGTGAGGAGAGGGGTGAGGGGGGGGGAGGGGGAGAGGAC